CAAAATCCTTTCCGAGGGAGAGACCACTGAGCAAATTCTTGCCGAGGCCAACACACAGCATCTATTCAAAGAGCCCCAGAAAATAGCCCCTTCCAGCGCCGGGTGCCCCGTCTGTGGCAGGCACATCCCCAGGCTCGCTCCTTTGATCCAAGTTGGGCACACAAGGAAGCACCTGCAGGTCCCGACTGCGCGAGCCTCATCTGGCAATGTTTAAAATTGCTATCAAATGTCAAAAGTTTCAAATAAGCAATTAAAGCGAATTACTAGGTGAAACAGGCTTCTCATTTAAAAGAAACGACTTCTTTTGATGTAAAGAAAATTAATGACCCCAATTCTAGCTCCATAAACACAGTTTACAGTGTAAGGCAGATCAGAGTCAGGCCCATCTTGCAGTTACAAGGAAATCCAGTGGATGCCATATTAAATGGGAGAACAGGGGAAAAAAAAACAAAACCATAAAATAAAAAAACCCTTTGAATTATTTAGAAAATTACACAAATTACACAGAGCAAACCACGGAAGCACACAGTATACCAAATTTAAACCTTCTAATTTATTTATAATAATAAAAAAAAAAAAGCCATCTCATTTCCAGCACTTGTATTTTGCCCAGCATTTACAAGGAGCCTTTTAACCCACTCATCCAGCCTGCGTGATCCCCAGTTTGCATCTGTGGCCATCCTCCTCCAGCACCTCACCGAGGGCCCAGCTGTGCAGTTAGATTACTTTTATTTTTCCACTCTGTGCGACGAAAACACCTGGCTAATGGCTGGGCGTGAAGGGCAGAGGAAACACACGTTACTGTTAAAAACATTAACCATAACTTAAAAGTTAAGCCAGCCCCATTAAAGAGGTTTTACTGCCCGGTGACAATGCCCAGTCCCGGGGAGCCCCCGCTTTGGCAGCTCGCGCCCTAAAAAGGCTGGGGTGGAAGTTGCAGTCATGTTTTACAGAGGGAAGAAATAAAACCTGAGTGACCAAATGAGTTAGACGCACACGTGGGAGAGGGGGGGAAGCAGTTAGAGCCATCCTTGTTACAGCTCCTCCGGCAGAGAGGCAAGCCAGACAAAGAGGGTGTGCAAGTCGCTGGGGGCAATGGCACAGAAATTAAACATACAACATAGAAGCCTCTGTCCCAAACAGCGCTCCAAAACCACTTTAGTCTGCCATGCTACAAAGAAGATGACTCCTTTATTCCTCCACAGCATAAACAAACTATGCTGTCTTTGTCACACCTACTTTCCAAATACTTTTCTTGCCTTCTGAACAAGCAGGATAAGCACAGCACTGTGATGCTGTCGCATTTACAGCTTCCCCTCCCGCTACTGAAACCAAAACCCTAATTTCAGTCACAGCTTGTTAACTTTTGCATACGAATTTGAGATATTTAAACACTGCAGACTGTTAGAAGGGTAAAATAAATGGTCCCACTAGCAACAACTGCACTAGGGAGCCCAGCAGCTGCCAGCGAGGTCAAGGCAGGAGATAATTACATGTACTTAAACGAGCAAGAGTTTTCTGAAATGCCTGAATTTACCAGTGCTTTTCAGCAAGTGGTTCTTACAGACACAAGCGAGCTTGCAGACCGCTTCTGGGAGATTAAACACACACATGCAAATTGCCCACACGAGGAAGAGCGCACAGACCTGGTCTGAAAAGTCCTTCCAAGATCAACCGGGCCTGATGGTAAACTTGGAAAACCGGGATTGTGCTCCCACCAGAACACACGGCAAAACACCCGTTTAGTTCAACACCAGCTGCATTTAGCCTGGAGTCTGCCTTCAGGCTTTATCTCTGAAACCAGGAGTAGGTAAAACGAGCCCAGATTTGAAAACACATCCAGCAGCATGTAACAGGAGGAAAGAAACAGTCATTTCTATGATTCTGTGATTTTAAATCACGTTTCCCTCTCTGATGTATGCCTCAATTGCTGCATTGCCCGCCCCCCCCATGAAATCCAGCGAGGACCAAGCAGGGTTTCAGCCACGCAGGTAACACCGATGTGTGCACGTGGGGCACACAAACAAAACCCGCACCACACAGCTGTAACACACTACAGCCTGAGACCGTTGCCCTTGAAACTACAGACATACTCAACGCAAAGGGGATGTGGCCAAAGGGCAACAGCTCTGAAAAGCCCCGCTACAGCTCAGGCACCCAAATCATAGCCAGGTTTTCAAAAGCACCCAACACCAAATGACCTTGCTGGAACTGGACCCTTTTGGAAACCCGAAGCAGTTTGTCAGTGAGGTTGCACTTAAAAAACTTAGATTCCTTTGAGATTTTAGCTCAACCTGTAATTTCCCAAGTATTTAAAGTTTGCAGTTAGATCGTTTGTTTAGTTAACAAGGAGTAATAGAGAGCTTTTCCACTGCCAAAGAGAAACAAAGATACAAGCTTTACATCTTACCTGCAGCTACTGACTTGTAACTCCCAAACTGAGCAAGAGGAGAGGACGCAAAAAAGCATCTGGATTCTCACTTAAGAAGTCCCTGAAGTAATACCCACCCATCTGTAACCTAATCCTTTCAGCGAGGAACTATCCACTGAGTGCGAACAAACGATGACGAACAAATGATGAAAAGTCAAATTGCCAACAACCGTCCTCAGTAATTACCTGCAATTCTGCCTGGCACTAGTTTCTGCAACGCAAGTGTATCTGGAGCAGTATTCTGAATTAAATTAAATTCTTGATATAAAGATAATTAAAACGAAAGAAGAAGAATCACTGAATGTCACACTGAAATATATACTTAAATACAGACCTAGGTAAACAACATTTTTAAAGGATGCTTTGGGAGAATGGAATGTACTTTCCCAGTGCAGAAGAATCAATGTTAATGATT